GTCCAAGATCTAAATAAGATTTAGATCTGGAAACCTCCTAATCAGATTARRAGATGGCTRATCTKATYTSCWDATAAGATAAGGATTATCCCTTATCACTTAAAGGGACTTCATGCTCATAAAGAAGAAATAGACAATCTGAATCAAATCCCTTTTAAATTTCAGGCAACCTCTGGTCAATTGATTAATATGGAGGAATCTGGTGTTTATTGTAGTAAAAATATTCATCTGAAACATCAGCGTATGAACAGACAACAACTTCACATAGGCCCTCTTAATAAAAACTCTAAATATTTAGGACTTCCTCTAATCTCAGGGCTAAACTTAACAATTGGAGGGCCTCTGCAATTAGCCAAGCAGGAAAGAAAATTCTAATTCAATCTATTGTCCAAGCCATTCCTCTCCATGCCATGACTCTTGTCAAGATTCCTAAAAAAACCATTGATCGTATGGAAAAAATAATTAGAGATTTCTGGTGGAGCATGTCTAGCACTTGAAAACACCCTTATTGTTGGTGTTCCTAGCAAAAACTTATGTTACCCAAAGCTTTTGGAGGACTAGGATTTATAAATTTAAATCTAGTAAATCATGCCCTCCTTATGGGCTCAAATTTGGAAGACAAAATTCCTTAAAAACCAGAGTCATATACCCTATTCAATGGCTTCCTCAGGTTCTATCCATTGGAAAGTTATTTGCCCAAAGCTCATTGAACTGACCTTAGAAAGCGGATATCTAGTAAATGAGAATTCTTCCTTCCTTGTGCATCAGGTCCCCTGGGTTCAGTCTAACAACGATTTTTTTTTTTTTAGATTTCCTTCCCCCTAGATCCTCAGATGAGGAACATGAATATTTCACATCTTCTTACCTTAGATTAGTGGAATATCAATCTAATTAGGTCTCTGTTTTCAACAGATGAAGCTTCAAAAATTTTGAGAACACCTATCTTTCCTTCAAACAATGAAATCTCTTGGCTCTGGACAAGTCATAAATCTGGCAAATATACAGTGAAAGAGGAATACAAGAAAAAACAACTAAACTCCCTTCCAAATATCTCCTCTGATCTTAAATTCTGCCTATTTAAAATCTGGAAACTTTCTGTTCCTTCTCGATATCAATTATTTTTTTTTTTGAGAGTAGTTAATGATTTTATCCTAGTAAAAGATTTACTCTGTGGAAATTCTGGATAAACTCTGCAATAATGATATGGAATCTTCAACCCACCTTTTTATTAATTGTCAATTTTCTCAAGCTATTCTCTTTGGAAATCCTTGGAACTTATATTTGCATAATATATTTCAAGGTTCTTGGATCTCGTGTATAAAGAATTTATATAATCTAATTTCTGATAATCAACTTTTTCTGAGAATATTATGGTGGATAGCCATCGCCTGCTATCATATTTGATATGCTCGAAATGAGAAATGTTTCATGAATAGACAAATCTTGCCACAAATAATCATCAATATTGTTAACCAAACTTTACAGCAAACCATGGATTCATTAAATGAACCCACAACATACTACTGATTTAATTATCTTTTTCTGATGCAGGGAAAATTTTCAATTCCTTATTTAGTTTTGGTATTATTATCCTATCTAAAAATTTATCCTGCCTAAAAATTATTGGAGGCCAAACTAATCAAACTACTTCTGTTGGCCAAGCTGAATTATTTGCGATTATGCAAGCTTTAATGGAGCTTCACAATTGGAATTACGAAGAAATATGTATAAGTTCGGATGCTCAACAAATCGTAAAGGCTTTGAAGAAAAAAGCAGATCTCCCCTGATCCTGCCAATTGCTTTTGTCTAGAACCAGGAATTTAATTTCGAACTCTGTTAATGTTAAGTTTTATAATGTAAATAGAAACTTTAACTGCCCTGCCCATAAGGTTTCCGAGCTAGCTAAAACTCACTCCCAGTCGTTTTTTGTCTTAAATGATTATTTTGCTAGGATCCGTAGGATATAATTATTTTATCTTCCAAAAAAAATCTAAATAAATAAAGTTAGTTTCCTTTCAAAAAAAAAAAAAAAAAGAAGCTTTTATGCTTGAGTCATTTAAATTAGTGGGGAGTCTAGGTAATGGGGAAGGGGTCCACCCTATACGTGTAGTATGTGATATCAACCATTGGATGAATGTAATCATCCACTAATGGATATTTTGATTTTTGGACAGGGCGATTTTTCTGACATGCCCGCCCATTGGATGGGCGGAATTGCTCCGGGTCATATCCTAGCCTGACTTCGTGGCATCATGGACCTCACATTATTAACGACTCTCTCTCTCTCTCTCTTTCCACTCCATGACTCCAGAACCAAGGCCCCGTCAGGATTTGTTGCCTTTCCTTTCCTGCTTCTCCCGCTCTATTTATATAATTATATCTAACAAAATAACAATATATTGAGGCCTATCTCAAAGGAAATTTTTGGTTGGAGGAGATGAGCGCGTCAGCGTTTGCACCCTGGTCTTGCTGTCTCAAGAAGCTAGGCACACCCAGAAGAAGAAGAGACCTCGACACGACAGAACCAACAACAGTAACAATCTCAACCCATCGCCGCCATGACAGACCCCCTCGCCCTCTGCAACAGAAAGAAAGCTCCAGGTTGTCAAGAAGACTAGTAATCGAACTCGGCTTCTGCTTGGGACTAGTCGATGCTTTTATTCAGCAACCACGAGAAGGGTTCGCAGCAGAATCACAGTGCGAACTCACACTTGCTCCTTCGGGCCTCGCCTATTGCGATAGAGTAGTTGGGACTGGTCCAGAAGCCACCAAAGGCCAGCTCATCAAGGTAACTCTGTTTCTAATTATTTCATGTTTCTCCTAACCAGAATAACATTCCCGCTCTCACTGCAAAATTTTCTTGCCCAGTTTGCCATTTGTTTGATGTAATGTCGTCCAGATAGTTAAAATTAATGATTACCAGACGGGCATTATTCCACCTTCCAGCAGAATTGCAATGTTGTATGCAGACAAGTGAAAACTCCGATTTCTTTGAAGATGAATGCTTTATTATTATCATTTACTATTTAGATTCATTTTAAATCATCATATCATGTAGTTTGGTTCTGGAATGTGATTAAAACTATGCACTTTTGTTGGCTTCATGATTTCTAAATTCGACCGATGCTGTATATAGGCACATTACGTAGGAAAATTGGAAAATGGGAAGGTTTTTGATAGCAGCTATAACCGTGGGAAGCCGCTTACTTTTCGAGTAGGTGTTGGTGAGGTATACCTCTCTCTCTCTCTCTCTCAAAGAATCAAACCATTGCTTTAAAAGCGCGTGAGGTTTCGTGATTCTAAAATCCTTCTGTTGTTTAATTTTACATTAACTGCTTCTATAATGTATACGGAAGACAGTACCTGAAACAGAATGTTTCACCTGGTTTGGTGGCGCAGAGGTGGGTGGGTGGTGGTAGACTAAATCTAAATGAATTCACTAGATGAAGTGATGAACACCTAGCATACAACATGAAGGTGGTTCGGTTATATAATAATTGCTTAAGAATCATATCATTATTTATTAGAGATAAATAATTGCTTTAATCAACCATTTGAATGGCTCCTACAAGAGCTAGTAACTAGTAATTAATGCAAAAAAAAAGATAATAAATTGAGCATATATAAATGAAAATTTCTTTTTGAAAAAAAGCACTTGTTATGAACAATTATTCTTAATAGAAAGATCATCAAATGAAATTAAGAACATCATAAGAAAAATACTAAATCAATCAATATCATATGATAAATTCTAATAAATACAAGCACTAAACATCTTTGATGGAGAATTATGAATAGAACCAAAAGCTTTGATTCATGGTCTTAATATTTCAAATGGAGACTGGTAGCGTGTGAGAAATGGGGATGTGCCATGTTCTTATTCTTATAGAACAAGAACATGAGTTTGTACAATCCATGGGGGGGGTAGCATAGGTGGGGATTTGGGACAATACCTTTAGAAAACCAATAAAAATTTCTGAGGGGAGTGAACCATCAACTTCCCTAGAAAAAATGGCCCTGTGATATAATGGTAACTTACTAGTCTTTTGTTTTTCTATTATTCTACTAATTTATTTGTAGGCCTGCCTATTTGTATTATGCAGAGAGATTAGTAAATCTCCTAGTTTTATTGAGCCTCTTAAATGTTAAATCTTCTATTGGTGATCTATATTTTGGGGAAGATTGGAAGGAGCAGGTCATATATTTCTGTCACTCAACTAAGATAGTGATAGTAAGATCATAGGTGGGGTTGATTCTATAGTTTCCCTAAGATTTTCAAGGATTGACTATAGCATATCTAAGTTCTTTTCTTTTCTTTTCTTTTTTCTTTTTGGTGAAAGTAGTGTATTTATTATTTAATTCTACACTTGATCTTAGCTAAAAGGCTGAGAAAGGTTTATGTAGTATATTTAATTCAAACTCAGCTTATATGCCTTATTCTTTAAAAAAAAAACATGCTATTCTGTCCTTTTTGTTTAACGATGCTATATCTATCCTTGCTCACAACAACAAAGTCATAAATTTATTTTGAGTTTTCTAAGAAAGAGTTAATGTAGGACTGCAGGCCAACAGGAAGACCCTTTTTTTTCAAATCTTTTTTTTTTTTTTTTTTAATTTTGGGGGATGGAGGAGAAGATGGATCCCTTGCCTTGGGGGAAGAGTTTTGCATTTCTGTTTTCTTCATGATTTATTTACAGCCTTCTATTACAATTAAAATTGAAGGTTCCTTTATAATTTCCATTACAAACCAATTGGTTGATTTTGCTACTCTTCAAAGAGAAAAAGGTCAATTTAAATTGAGGCAATCTTGCAGCTTAAACTTTATTTGTTTATACTTTCTTTGTACACCGAAAAAAGAAAAACCTTTGTTTTTTACATGGATGATCAGAATAATTATAATTTCTTTATATATGAAACTAGAGTCCTTTTATAGAGGTTTCTTCATCTTTTTGTGTTCATCTTAGAAAAATTTGACTTTCCTGATGGTCCAAAACCTCATGCATCCAGAGGCCTTGAGACCTCACCTCATGTTTTCTCTTTAAACACTAACCTGAATCAATAGTCTTAATGGATACTAATGGATAATCCCCTTCCTTATCCCTTATGCTATATTGAAAAAATGGTAGGATCTAT